CAGTGATCCGGTGTTCCCTAGTCACATTCGCATGCTGTAATCCAAGTTTTGATGCAATAAAAAATAAATAAATGAAAATAAATAGGGAAAAACTGAACCTGTATAATGGTCGGGTGGTCGCCGGTGATCTCCCTTCCCTTCTGTGTTTTGTATTGAAAAAAAAAATAAGATAAAAAATAACTCAGCAAAACATGTAAAGGATGTTAGAGAGGAACGGGGAGTACCTCCGGTGTATTTGTCGGAGTGGTCATCTTTGCTGGAGTTCTCGCCATTAGTACGGATGGAGGAGTACAAGGGTCAAGAGACGAGGTCAAGAGTTGAGAGTAGCGGGAATTTGGAGCTAACGGGACGAGTTAAACGTCCGTCATATTAGCTCCACACGCGTTAAAGGGAAAATCGTGTAAAAGGACTGATTGGGTGGGGCATTTGTGGGGCGCAGATTTGGACTCAAAAAAATGCACTAACAACAATCGGGTTCAATCCCTTGCATTGAAAATATCTCTCTACTTATTTATTTTACTTCATGGGGAGATATTTCCAATGCAAGGTTACAAGAGGCTGTTCGAACAGTGTGAGAACCGAGGCCAAACTCCAATCCCTTGCCAATTTTGAGCAGAACCAAGCTGATTGGGGTGAATTTGCCCGAGATTTGCCTACAGCCTACAGCCTACAGCCTCTAATTCTTTACCTACAGCCTCTAATCAGGTCCAAAATATCTTTGATGATAGTATTTGTAATCTTATTTTAATAAGAAGCGTTAAATCGTTAATTACTGTTAATTACCAGAATAATGACTTTGTAATTGTTTAAAAACAACTACACAATCACGAGAAACTGAATTGAAAATTATGTTGTAACTCAAACAGCTAGCTAGCTGGTCCATTCAGTGCTCTTCCAATCTTCCTAGCTATGATAATATTTCCACGCCTTTAGTGCATTGATTCAACACTGTAAATATATCTGATGAGGGTGGATTTGGCCCATCAATGATATTGCGACACATGGTACCTTAGAACAACTAGGTGACACCTAGAACCACTTAGGCAACAATTTGCCTTAGCCAAGTTGATGGTATCCCACTTGGCGGCCTGGCCCAGGAGCGACCTGGTGGCTTGGCCCAGGCGTGAACTGGTGGCTTGGCCCTGGCGTGAACTGGCGGCGCCGACCAGGCGACCTGTGAGACGTGCTCGCCAACAAATTCGGTATGCATTTCCCAACACTCCCACGATCCTTGGAAGTTGGCCCACATACCGAATGATCCGGAGGGTGGTCAACGTGCATAGCGGTTGCCTCAGGCAATCTCGGACCACTTAGACGACTTCTCGAAAATCTCGGATGCGGTGCGTGTAGCCCATGTCAAACTATGCCTATATAAAGGCACCAACCCCAATGGCATAGAGGAGCAAGTAAGCATATTCTAGCTCTCATACTTTGTGATTTTTAACTTGCATTCTACTATGAGAGTATTGACTTAAGCATCGGAGCGACATCGCTGGGTTAGTCACCCCAGGTCCTCTGACATTGATTCCTTGCAGGTCTCTAAAGAACTACAAAGCTCAACAATCAATCCAGCTCGCCACCAGGCAACTCAGCACTTAATAGGCAATTCATCACTTAACCTGCCTAGCTCGGCCCAGTCAGCTCATCACCTAACCTGCCTAGCTCGGCCCAGTTAGTTCGAAACCTAACCTGCCTAGCTCAACCCAGTCAGCTCGTCACCTAACCTGCCTAGCTCGGCCCAGTTAGTTCGGCACCTAACCTACCTAGCTCGGCCTAGTTAACTCAGCACCTAATCTGCCCCAAGCTCAGCCTAGTCAGCTCGGCATCTAGGTCCTCATCCAGCAAAAGTTCACTTCGGCCTCTGAGTCATCGGCCACTTGGAAACATACCAAATGACGAAGTACTTAGCACCAAAAATTGATTCATCGATTGGCGTCGTCTGTGGGATACGCTACAAAAAGCTAAATTCTCATCCTCCGAAAGGCTAAGTCCTCTTCTTCCAGAAAGATAAGTTTTCACCTTTTAGAAACTAAAAGCTCTCACTTTCTAGTTTCCATTTTTTATGAACTCAAAGATTATGTAGGAAGTTGATGGCCAACAGACTAAGCAGCTCTACCAACTTTAATTCAACTCGGGTAAAGCCTCACCAGTCCTCTTCGCGAGGTACCCTCTACAAGGATGAGCTCTTCATGGCTATTGCGGGAGTAGGCGGCCAACTGACTGCATGGACGCCCCTACCGATTGAGCTCCTAGTAGCTTTCTTGTAGGAGTGGGTAACCAACGTCACTAACGAGGCTGATGCAGCGTTGCCGTAGCTCTAAGGTGTCGAGCTGATAAAAGACCTCTGCACCACATAAGACCCAGTCGCATCTTCGGCATGGGCAAAATCAAAGATCAAGGAGAGTGGACTATGAGTCGCTCCTAGAGCCTAAGGGCCAAAGTGTCGAACTGGCAAAGACTTTGGCACCACATAAGACCCAGTCGCCTCTTCGGCATGGGCAAAATCAAGGTTAAGGAGAGTGGACTGCGAGTCGCGCCCAGAGCCTAAGGAATTGAATTGATGCTTACGAGCTCATCGAATTAGTCATTTCAGGCCAAAATGAGCAATCTACTCCCTTTGTCGAGTTACTTTCAGCTCGGAAGTGGGGGGCAAATGATGAGGGCAGATTTGGCCCTCCAATGATATTGTGACACATGGCACCTTGGAACAAATAGGTGACACCCAGAACCACTTAGGCAACAATTTGCCTTAGCCAAGTTGATGGTGTCCCACCTGGCGGCCTGGCCCAAGCGCGAACTGGCGGCCTGGCCCAAGCGCAAACTGGCGGTCTGGCCCAAGCGCGACCTGGTGGCCTAGCCCTGGTGTGACCTAGGGGCCTGGCCCAGGCGTCGAACTGGCATCCTGGCCCAAGCGTCGAATTGGCGGCCTGGCACAGGCACCGACTTGGCTGCCTGGCACCGGTGTCAACCTGCAAGACGTGCTCGCCGACAAATTCGGCATGCATATCCCAACACTCCCACGATCCTTGGAAGTTGGCCCACGTACCGAACGATCTGGAGGTTGGTCAACATGCATGGCGGTTGCCTCAGGGAATCTCGAACCACTTAGACGACTTCTCGGAAATCTCGGATGTGGTGCGTGTAGGCCACGCCAAACTATGCCTATATAAAGGCACCAACCCCAATGGCATAGAGGGGCAAGTAAGCATATTCTATCTCTCATACTTTGTGATTTTTAGCTCGCAGTCTACTATGAGAGTACCGACTTAAGCATCGGAGCGACCTCGTCGGGTTAGCCACCCCGGGTCTTCTAACATTGATTTCTTGCAGGTCTCTAAAGAACTATGAAGCTCAACAATCAATCCAACTCGCCACCAAGCAGCTCGGCACCTAACCTGCCTAGCTCGACCCAGTCAGCTCGTCACCTAACCTGCCTAGCTCGGCCCAATTAGTTCGGCACCTAACCTGCCCAGCTCGGCCCAATTAACTCAGTACCTAATCTGCCCCTAGCTCAGCCTGGTTAGCTCGGCATACAGATCCTCATCCAGCAAAACTTCACTTCGGCCTCTGAGTCATCGACCACTTAGAAGTAGACCAAATGGCAAAGTATTTAACACAAAAAAAATTGATTCATCAATATCCTCACTCGTTAAGATTCACAGTTGTACATGTCGTTTTTTATAATGGTATAACTCGTCATAAGGTAGCCCAGTTTGCCACCCGGCACAAGAAATCCATTCTAGTCTTTAATCCCTGATTTTATCATGTGGTTGGCAGTTGATAAGATTTAACCTTGTTGATTTGATTGAATGAATTTGCCTTGGGCTTCAAGAAAAAAGTGGGGGGAGGTGCTGGCTTCCTAGGGAACAAGACCTTTGATGTCAAGGGTTGCCAATTATTGAAGTCTTAACTACTTTATTTAATTACTTTGGCAATGAAATGTTCTAAGGAACGTCCAACGTTAAAAGTTTAAGCTGTTAAACGAGGTATATGCTGAAATTTAATTAATTATAACGAAGGCAACAAAAATCAAACCGTTTGGTCAAATAAACCATTCACCTATTAATTATAACGAAGGCAACGTCCAAATAAACCATTCACCTATTAGGTGAACTGCATTGCATTCGTGAAAGAAAAAGTAAAAATATCAGTGTGTCCCATATACATTCCAAGTATCCCCTTAATTACCAAAAAGATAGATATGCGCGTGAATGGTTTAAGTAAAATAATATAACATCACATTAAAAGCTCTTTTCTTACTGAGACGATAACAGCGGGATTCAAAACCGCATCATTCCTGTGACAATTCATCCAGCACACCAACTATGCTGCCCCTCAAATTAATGATAGGGTCTGAGACAAGCACACTTCAGCGAGAAGTTGGTTGGAGGAAACAATAGTGGAACGCTCTCAGAAAGTGCATATGGCCCACAAATGGCTGGCGTATGGGGTGTTGCATTGGTGCACAGCCCGAAACACAGTTTAATCCCTTCGACCTACAAATGATGCCCCGGGAATCGGGGACTCAATAATTTTTAACCTATGCTGGCGGAAGACAAAATCATGCACACAGGGCTAGGTTACTTATCCCCGAGTGAATACGCCAGCGTTTAATAAAGATGGAAGTATGGAACCCAGGTGGGATCCACAGTGAATACTGGTGTATTTACTCGTGATAAATAGCCCAGCCCGGTGTGTACTATTTTTGTTGATAATAGCCCTTTTCACCGGGCCTGGGCTCTGGAATCAGGAATTGGAAACGTAGGGAGATAAAGCCCAAACCTTAACTGGCCCACAACTAAGTTTCTGGGCCTAAGCATATTTTAGTAAAGTATTTAAATCCAAGCCCAGCCTTTTAGGAGTCCATGGATCAAACAGTTTAGGCCATCGTACGATTTCTTTTCTTCTTTTTCTTCCTTCTCAATAAATCTTCATAAGTGATCGGGGCTTGTCTTTGATATCTAAAGCTGAAAACCATAACTTTTTTTTTTCTTTTTTGCTTTTACCCTGATGATGATACAAATAATAATGCAAAATTTTCAAATGCAGCACAAAACTTCTAACAAAAATTCTTAGGAAATTAAAAAAAAATAGAAGGCCTCATCACAAACAAACATTCCATGGTAAATACAAAAGGGATAAGAGAAATAAGAAACCAGAAGGGTGACAAATTATTCAAAACTCTCACCATATCGATCATAGTCGATGGATTCAATTCAATGAGATCACACCAGAACTAGTACACAAGACCTCACCTGTCATCACCATCATCATCAGCAGCAGCATCATCAAGTTGATGCAATTTAATCAATCATACCAGCACCTGGTGCATTACCTTTCCACCATCATGAATTCGCGGTCACAAAGAAAATGCTGCAAATACTGCAACAATAAATGAGACGATCAAATGCCGGGTGAGAACCACTGCACCAGAAGAATCAACTGGAGCATCATCGGAAGAGGCTGTAGGGGCGTCGGAGGAAGATGGAGGTGATTCCTTCTTTGACTTGGAAGGTGCAGGAGCCGGCGAGGGTGGGCCAAACAGCTGTAAGGGAAGGAGAACCTGGTCCACCTGATAGACAGCCAGCTGGTTATCGGTGTAGATGGTGTTGGCGACGGTCGTATTGACAACTCCGGTGGTTATGTTAACCTGATTGCCGGTGGTGGTGACATTGAGAGGAAACTGGCCATTGTTACTATTTCCTGCCTGGGTTCGTAGTGGGTTACTCACTGTTTGGAACTGCGAGACGGAGATGAAAGAAGGGAGGACATGGAATTGCACCAACTGGACCTTCTGCTGATCTGTGAGGGAGTTGAGGGTACCCGACTTGAGATTAGAAAAGGCATTATCAGTGGGTGCAAATAGAGTGATACCCTGGTTGGAATTGTTGAGCTGTTGGTTGATCTGGTCCGCCATTTGGGTACTCTTTAGCAGTCGGATGAGCGTAGTAAACTGCCCTGCCTTTTCGAGGATGGCTGTAATGTTGGTCGGACCAGAGGGTCCTGGCGCCGGGGCCTGAGCTAAGGTTGTGGTGCACTTTAGCAGGGTAATCAGTACCAGGAAAGAATGTAAGAGAAGCAGCTTCACCATCTTTCTCTGCTCACTTTTTTACTATTGGAATTGGGCTCTATTGGTTGCTAATTTAGCTAGAAAATGAAGGTGAAAAAGAATTGATAAAGAAGACTTGGAAATTGTTGAAGGTGGTGGAAGGAAGAGTGGGTTTTATAAGAGGAGGTTGTGACTTGTGAGGTGGTGGTGAAATGAGAGAAGTTAGGTAAGAGGTACAATCCAATTTGATCTGACCTTACATCCCATCTTTCTTGTATAAAGAGAAATTTTATTGATGCAGTGTTGCAGCTACTATTTTGCTTAGCAAAGCAGGAAAATGAAGCAAGTTATAATATCACAGCAATGCTACAGATGTGGAAATTGGTGACTGATATAAGTCTTTTTGGTTGCTTTTCCTTCACTTTTTTCCCCCAGGAAAATATATACATACTATTTTTCTCTTGCGACAAACTTAAGGGATAAAGTACCATTCCAACTGTCCCACAGGGACCCTCAATCAGCTCGACAATTTATGTTTGTTAATTAGTATATTATCTTTGGACCCATCATGGGAGATGTTGTTAATTTTTTTTTTTTAAGTCCCCTTTATGATTCACTTGTCTCTTGGTGTATACATGTGGACAGGGAAGGGTTGGTTTAGTAATTTGATAGCCAATCTAAAATTACCAAAGCACCCTTTTGTGGCTATCAAATCAAAACAAATAAGCTTATGCATGCAAGATGGGCTTGTAAATGACATGTTACTAAGAAAACAAAATTAATAAATTGGGTTGACAATGGGCATCCCTGAAATCCTAAAGCCCATTCTGGGCTAAGACATGTAAAGCCTGAAGTAGTTAAATGGTTTTACTATATATTCATCATCAATATCTATAACAGTGAGAGAGCTATGAACCTGTAATACAGCGCCAGCGGTATTTGTGGCCCAACAATGTACTAAGCTCGGCCCAAGGCCAGCCTGTTCAGGAAGGAAAATTGCCCATCTCTAGTCTTAGAATGGGATAAGTGGTGTTTATCATGAAAACACCCCCTCACTTGTATTTGTGTTTGGGTGTTTTACAGCTAAGATAAGATTGTTTTCTCTCTCTCTCTCTGGAAAACTAGGCGTGCACGTTAGTTAGTCAGTATGGATTGATTTAGCTTAGCACCCAAGATCCACTCCTATGAACTGTACGTGGGCAGACGAGCTCAAGTATGGAATTGATCGTTTTCGCTGAATCTGAATGTGCGCTTCCAATCATCCGATGATTCCAATTAAACCTAAATCCGATGATCACCCTCAGGACGTGGTCATTTACCATAATATTTGGAATTCTTGGCTTTTTCTTCAGGCTGACCTCGGTCTCGGTGTGTCTGGGGCTGGGCTGGTTTAGTACTGCTCAGCTCATTACATTTGGGGGGTAATGTGCACTTCCAACTTCCAATCAGGAAAAAACTAAGCGCCAGCTGTGACAAACCATGACAGGCTCGTTCAATTCAGCCCATGGATTTTAGATTTCACTGCAGATGATGACCTTGTTCCCGGGTTAGAAGTTAGAACCCACCCTACCCTACTCCAACGTTATATACTAATGGTAATGGTAATGGCGTGTGGAATTTTGGTTATACTTTCTTTTTGTTGTTCAGTTACTCTGAACCTGAGGTAAACCAAAAAACAAACAGGTTGAGGTTGTCAATTAAGTTTCTCTTTTTGAGCAGACAGGTGGCCGATAGCCAACACACGGGCTCACACAGGGTTTTTCCATGTGAGGAGGGGCTCATCGTCATCTCTCTTTTGGAAGCCATCGGGTAGGTGTTGAGATTTTTGCAGCATTTCTTTTAAATGCTGTATTACGCCATACTGATCATCAACCTCAACCTCTCTGGCCCCCCTAGCTCCATTATGCATTGTTTCTGTGATGTGGCATTTGAACTTGATGAAGTGTTCTTTTCATCATTAAAAAGTTGTTGCAATTAAAGATGTGACAACTCACAAATTCAGGCAATGAGTTGCATTGGCGTTCTTGCGTAAATGGCCATAAACAAATAAAGTTTCTTCCCAATTTAAATTAAAACTTAAATCACATAATAGTATCAAATTATTTAAAAAGCAATGGCCAAGAAACCAAGGTTTTAATTAAAATGGCAATAGCCAAAAGGTAGATGCAAGTCCTAGCTAGCTAGGTCTTAAAGTGTAAGCTTTAAAAAGTTTTAGACTCTCTGTACAAATTGCATTTCTCTCTCTCTATATATATATTTATCTTATGCATGTATTTTCATATGTATCCCTCCCCATACCTTGTATAAGAACATAAACATGGTGGTGACATTTGAGGAAAATGGGATTGGGGAAGACGGAAATGACTGGACACCCCCATACCGCTGGCAAGGGATCAGGTCATAATTCTCTGTAGATTTCAATGATTTTGGAGAAGGGAGAGGAAATAGACTGAAAGAGAAGCTGGGAGAGAAGGAGAAAGACGACCTGGGTCCCTCCTTTATATTTGGCTCTTGGATCTCCGTGTGGGCATGGGACCTCTATATATATTTTCTAGAGTGATGTTTGATATTGATGTCATTTTTTGAGAAAACAATGTCATATAAGTGCTACACCAGAGAAAGCAATACTTCAAACTACGCCCTCTTGTTTGGTACAATTTTTTTAGAAAAAAAAATGTTGCTCCAGACCATGCCTTAGAAATTGGAAAAGTGTGGTCTAGAGCAACGCCAAATTCAATGTTTTCTGCTAGCACTGATGTGGCCAGCGGTGCAATGATGTAACATCATCTTGGACATTGGATAATATAGATAAATATTAAAAACGTTATTGCTAGCACTGATACCAAATAAAACCAATATTGTTTTCTTAAAAAATACCTATATGGCAGCATCGATTCCAAACAAAAAATAAGCCCCGTGCAATATTCCCAATACCAATGCCAAACACCTACCAGATGTTTTTGGAATCTTCTAATACATGCTTTTATAGTTTTATTTTATGGGTTAAATATTAGATTGGACCGGATGCACTTAACTCGTTCTAGGGCTGTATACAACTCTATGTTTTTACACCCTTCATTTGCTGAAGCCTCATGCACTAGGCCGTCCTTTATGCATATATTATATCTCTTTTATGTATGTGTATTATAACTTTGTAATTTTCTATATATTTTGGAATATTATTTGTTTACTTGTTTGATGATCAATTTATATACATAAACTAAAACAAACTCATGTGATGCATTTATCTTCAGGTTTTGGCCTCCTTTACAAAAATTTTCTGACTTCACCCCTTGTTTGTGGGCAAGCCTGTCATGCACTTGCACAGGCATGGAAAAAACATATGAAAAGATAGAAACTGTTCTTGGGTGGAGATAAAGAGAAAGTAGAAGGGGCTTATATGAATTGGGAGCTACAAATCCAAGATCACTCGCCCTCGGCCAGGACAGATTCATATCACAGGGTTGCCTATATTGATACTTGATAACCTCCCAACGAATTCACATCCAGCCTTCCATTGGCCATTGCCTTCCACTTACGATTGCCCAGTATAAATCCTTTTTAAATTTACTAATAAATTAATTCTCCACAGACGGCATTTCCGAAACTGTCAGTACAGGTGATTTTCATATATAAATATTCCAAATTTGTTGGGTACCATGTTGAATTTATAAGGCTAGCTTATACAAATAGAAAAAAAGAATTCCTATCGTCAACCTTTTACCATTTTTTACTCTTAAGTTTTAACCACATGTAATACAAGCTTTCCCGCATTGCCAAATTACTGTTGTCGTTCTAATAGGAATATTTTTAATAAGAAATAAAGAAAAGTGGCTTTTGTTAGTCATATAATGAAGTAATGAAGATTATATTACTTCCAACGAGAAAGTGAGGTGATGACCGATCATGAACTTAAGGGCTTAATGCTAATCCCTACTCTTTGTAAGTACAACTCTAGTCTAAGTCGTATTCTCACCAGGCACCACTCTATGTCTTCTACACATGCATCAACACCCTTGCCATAGAAATTTGTACGTAAAAGCATTAGTTATAAGAAAATCTTACTTGTTAAAGTATGGGTAACAACATGTTCGTCTTTTTGGATAAATATAAGGGTAAATATCTTAAATTATCCCTACTCTTTGTAAAATTGACTAATTTTATCCTTATTATTTACATATTGTATTAAAGTATTTTTAAAATTTCTGACAATTGTTTAGAACCTCCCTTGTCGTTAATTTTTTGTTATAATCTGTTCACATCTGACATTACGTGAGTGGTAATTATTTTAAAATTCCTAAAATACCTTTATTATTCACCACTGCTATTGAAACCAGCACTGGCATCCGATACTCAGCTTCAATCGGGCCAGCTCTACTTCGCATTACCTTTCTCCATGTTTCAATCCGATGCCTCTCCCATCGACCTTGTCTCTCTAGCAACAAGGCTCATAGCGATTGTCAAACGCGGTGTCTTCACCTCCAATGCTAGACACCCGAAAAGCAGTCCATTGAGGCTTAACAGCTCCGCCGGTTTCAAAAGTAATTCCATGGTTTTTAAAACTGAACCAGTGACCGAATCAGTTAGGGGTCCGATTATCGGTTCGAATGGTCTGACTGTTCAACCCAAATGACCGGTCCATTTTAACAAAAAAAATTGAAAAATGGTCAAAACCGTTCGAACGGTTCAAACGGTTAACCGGCCAGTTCAACGGTTTACTAACCAAAATCAACGATTTAAAAAAAAAAGGTTTTGGAGAAAAACGAAACCAATTAAATAACTGATTCCTGGTTTTTGCGGTCCAACCATCTGGTCCGGTCCGATTTTGAAAAGCATGAGTAATTCCTCGCCTGCAAGTGCTAACTCGTACTGGGACCGAGTCACAAGCAGTGGCACAAGAGGCAAATCTAGCGGCTTATCGGTGTCAAACGTCAACTACGGCTTGGTCATGGAAACCCATCCTTGAGACCATCAACTAGAAATCATTCCCTCCTTGTGAATCAGATTTACAGAGCAAGCGGTTCGAGGCGCCAGCAGAGTTCGATTCCGAGTTCAGGTAGTGACTCAGTAGCTGATCTCCGTGTTGATTAGGTATGGAGCTCGACTGAGGTGGGATACGATATTGACTCAGTGCTGAAGTCATTGTGATGCCAAGCGATCCGAGTC